CTTCCTGACAGTACTGGCGGCTAGTCTCAATTCTTTTAGCTACAAGCATCTGCCAGTAAAACCATTGCCATTAGGGACAAAAACCTGGGGGGGACTATGCAGAAAACGCATTTTTGCACCGATAGCCGGTGCGTTTGCCAATTATTTTCGCACTGATGTCCGTTATGTGCAAGTATAGTGAACGGCCGCTTTTCGGAGTGAATTTTGCACATTACTGGCTGGCTTTAGCTGGTGAGCGCATAGTGCTGGAGTTGGGTGGGCGCACCGGCGATGAGGAAGCTGATGTTGGTTTGTTTCAGTGTGTGTGTGTGTGTGCGCGGGTTGTGTGTGTGTGAATGCAACTGGATTCGGATGAAGTGTTGAACGGGAGCGGAGGAGCATTGCTGGCGGTCGATGTGGGCACCACAACCATTCGGGCGTGCCTGTTCGACTCGTGCTGCCGCCTGATGCGCCACGTCGAGGAGCCGGTGAGTTGCTTCGGTAATTGTGCCGGCCTGCCTGTTGCTGCCGTAACGGTGCGTCTGTTCCAGATCTGTGTGCAGTTCGGCGGTAGCAGCGAGGAGGGTATTCGTGCCGAGATTGACCCCGATCTGCTGTGGAAGCAGTTCGTCTCGCTTGTCTCCCAGCTCCGTACGTTTTACCATTTTGTTGATTGACTTTTAAGCGTGCACTGCCCCGTGAAGAAATGCTACTGCCACGCGTACCTACCGACTGCGACGGTAGATGCGTGCGCGGGTGCAGCTGCGTACCTCCCTCCACCAGTAGACACCAGAGGCTCAGATGATCGGGACGAGAGCACTGCAACGGAACATAGCCAGTAGAAGGGAAAAGAAGTGAGTGGGGAACAGCGAAACCAGTACATCCAAAGAAGCCAGCATGCCAGTGCAGGTTTGAACATCCACTGAATTATGAACAAATTGACAGTGTACCACAGATGTGTGTGTGTGTGTGTGTGTGTGTGTGTGTGTGTGAATGTAAAGAGATGCGAAGCCAAAACACTGGCACATTGCTAACGTGGCAGCAGTTGTGAACGGCCGAAGTGTGGCTGTATAAGCAAAAGCGGAAGCAGTTTGGATAGGTCTGGTCTGTTGAGTGAGGACACTAGTGAGCAATCAGTTCTCGAGTAACCGGTATGCGTTTTGTAAGTGCCTGTCGGTATATAAATTAATTAAATGGTATCGGAAAGGCACTACTGCGGTGTGGCTGGCACAGTTTGTAGAGGGTTTTGTTCGGGCCAGTGCTGCGAACGTGGAGTGGAGAGCCGTCTCTGGTGTGCAGTGCTAGGCTAGTAAATTTGTTTGTTTGCAGTGGATGAAACGAGAGAGCGTGCGCACGGGGTGGCTGCTATGGGTATATGTTGCCAGCGAAACACGTTCATCTGCTGGGACAGGTCAGTTCAGAGACGCTGCTGTGCTTGCTTCTCAATGAAATAATTAATCAGTTTGTTCATTTGTTGTCATATTTGCCAGCCATTTATTGGGGACTGCTGGCCAGAGTAACTATCTGCAGAGAGAGTGGGAAGCCGTGCCATAATTTCATCACGTGGAAGGACTCTCGGGCCCGCAATGCATGCCGAATGTGGAACAATTCGTGGACAGTCAAGGTATCATTATTTTAATAAGAAAAATTCTACGAAAATTTGCGGTTTTCTTAATTGTGTGTAGAAAATTGCTTTTGGACAGTTTGGACAGTTTGCTGTTGTTTCTTGATTTGGCAATCTCCGGCTGTTTTTGCGTTTCGAGTTCACTGGTCTGAGAGTGACCACTGCGCAAAAAGCGATTTGATCTCCAAGCGCAAGAAGGAAAGATGAAGTGATTGAAGGGCGGTTTCTGCTAGCTGTACTTGTCAGCATTCTCATGCACCCATAGCTAATCAATTGACTTGTTGTGGGCGATGAATGAGTTGCATTCGAAGTCTGACTGAGCTTCTGTAGTCGCTCTCGCTGCCAGCTCGTTCAGAAGATGAATGGGCCTCGCTGCAGCAGCTGTTAGTCCTATCCTGTTCATTCTAGGACCAGACGAGGTGCGCTTGTGGCGCAATTCAGCAAAGTGCGGGCTGCTCCACGAATAAATTACAGTTTACGGTACTTGAGGATATTTGTTTTTTCCATTGCATTCGCTCAGTCCCCGGGCTAGTAAAAATGTGTATACCAGTGCTCTGAGCAACTGCTCTTTTATCGTTGTGCAATTTTTCACCGTCAATGAACCGAGCAGCTTTTCTGTTCTGTGCTTCACCAGAGGCATTGAAGTAAATCTTTCTCTCTCTCTCTCACTCTTCTTCTTATTTGGCATTTGAGGATACAACCAGACACTAGTAATGGGTGTGGAGGCAAGCAGGCATCATCCTCGTTATCATTTGTGCATAAGAGAATGGCCGAGCACAGCAGCGATCGGCGATTTGACCGCATTGCAGTAATCCGTACGCACTGTTCATCGTAGGGCTTTCGTAGTGCGATTCGATTTGCAGATGATAAATTTCATTGGCTTCATGATGCATATGCTGACTCGTTCGGCTCGCTTCCGGGCTGCTCGAATATTCTCTTTTTTGAATGCTATGGTCACTCATCGGCTGCTGGTCACATTAGCTGAAGTAAGCCAACTGTATTCCGATTTGTGTGGACCACTGCAAATTGTCAGTGCCGATGTTTAGCTTAACAATAAGAGTGCAAAGCACGCAAATATGTTTTATATCTCTGTAAAGCAGGCACTTATTGGCAGTTCTTTTGATGTTGCTGTCGTTGTCTTTAGATTTGCGTTTCAGAAATTGACTGTGCTTTTGCGTTCCAGGCATTTTGGGCTACAGGACCGCA